AGAACAGTGTGAAAAATCTCTTTTTTGAGCTTAGGCTTTCTGCTCTTTGGTTCATCTTAGAGCACAGACCTAGTTTGGAACTAGGTCAAATAAAATATCAATGATATTTTAATATCATCAATAAAGTTCACTGTAAATAATAACGAATAGTAATAAACCTAATTCTAAAGCCATCTCAGTCTTCTGGAAATGATCTTTTGTCCCAGGCCTACACTACTCAAACTGACCTGAACTGGTTTTAGACTGACATCAAGATAAGTGTTTGTGAACGTCCCTGTGATTTGTTCTCTAAAAGTATGCATCTAATCCATACTCTAAACCACTAAATGTCTGCTTCTCTATTAAAATAAATTTCTGTCAAATTAAAGTTGTAGATTTTTGTAATGACCAATCTGATTTTAGGTTGAGGAAGAAACTGAGGGTATCTACTGGGGTAAATCAGATGATGGGTTAATTTTGCATATACAAATGTGCCCATGATACAATATTAACTCACTTCTCTCATGGGAGGTGCTCTAGGGCCTTTGTGTTTATAACTCAAGTCCTAGCATAACATTTGGATGGTCTTAGAGCCAATGGATACACCATCCTAACATAGACTCCAGCAGTGGGAAGTAAGGGCAATTCCTACTTGCTCAAACTGGGATTAAAACTCAATTCTTTAAAAAGTAAAATATGGGACTAACCCACATTATAACCCAATTATTTTAAGTATGAGACAGGGCTTGGTCTCCTGGAAAGATTCTAGATTGAATGTATTGAATGTATTTTTCTGTGCCAGAAACTATAGATCTATGGATTTGATGAATCAGATCTATTTCTAAAAGGAAAGAAGATAAATCCAATAATAAAAATAGCTAACTTTTATTAACCACCTCTCATATGTGCCAGACACTGACATATATACATATCAGCTGTTTTTGTATAAATATATCATACAGTCCTAAGGAGAACCCTTAAGAGGTAGATCTTATCCCCATTTTACAGTTGAGGAAACTCAGGTGATTGTACAGTTCCAAATCACTGGTGTTGGAATGGGACTGGCTGGTGAGATATGGTCAAAGGGAGATTTTCAAAGGAAAGTTCTTAAAAATCACATGACAGTGAGAACATGAGGGTCTACACCATAGAAGTGTTTCTCTTCCTGAAATTGAGTAGGAATGGATTTAGTCTTTTCAACTAGTGTGGAGTGAAGCAGATCTCAGTGAGAAAAAGAGATTAGAAGCCTACAAAGGAAACCAGGGCTAGATTTGAGGAGGGAGGATGGGATGTGAATGTATGGTCAGGATGTCCTTCAGGGATCCTGATCTCCCAGGGTATCATCTAATTCTTCTAACTCAGAAGATCCTACTAACTGCCTAAATCCCTGGTGTGAGGACTTGTCTTAGAATAGTAGAGGGACCCATGTCCTGTGAGCAGATAGCAAGATTTCTATTACCTCCTAGAAACCCACTCACCTAAGCAGGCCTCAGTTATTAGATACAGGATTTAAACGTAAACTAACCCTGAAGCGAAGGGTGAGTGTTCCTCTTTTTGTTAAAACTTTGTTTGTAAGACTACCCTTAGCCTACACTCTTTAGCTTCTTCTTGCCCTCAGGATGAGGAAGAGAGTTGAGACCAGTCATAACCCAGGAAGATCCTCCTCTCAACCTGCCAAGAAGGGGAAACATGCTCAGTAGAATCATGAATGCAAGCTGGTTTACAGTGGTACCAGAGCTGTGGATTCTCCATTTTGGAAAATCCCTTTTGGAGCATTTATTGAGAGATTTGTCAGCACCTCACCAAGATGAGGCCTGGAGAGCATCTACCTGGCGTCCCCTCCAGGGCTGAATTTCTTCTGGGCGTGGAGCTGGCACAGTTCCCCCTAAACTCCTCATCTAAGAACTAGATGGTAAGGGATATTAATATGCAACACCGTTCTAGGAAATCAAATATTCCAACTACAAAATGAGTCTTGTTCTCCTAAAGAGAATTAGCCGAATTCACCAACTCTTCTGCAAAGGGGTTCTTGGGAGAACCACCCTTAGCAAGTCTGAGGACTAGTCTGATGAGAGAGCCTTGAGAGGCTGATGCAGGGGAAAGTGGTAGGGAAAAGATATCTTTTATCCTTCCATGTTCATAAAGCAAACTGTCTCCACTGTTTATATTCCTCTGACTTTCAACCTTCTAGTCACTGCAAATACAAGTGGGGAAGTAGAAGTGGGGTGATGGGCATGAGGGAAGCAGTGGGTTGAAGGAAAGGAAGGGAGAGAAAGAAGGAAGTGAGAGCAAATGGAGTAAACCTCCAAATGAAAGATAGGTTAGGGGCGCCTGGGTGGCTCAATCGGTTAACCATCCAACTCTTGATTTTGTCTCCAGTCATGATCTGAAGGTTCGTGAGATCCAGCCCCACACTGGGCTCTATGCTGACAGTGAAGACCCTGCTTGGGATTCTCTCTCTCTCTCTCTCTCTCTCTCAAATAAGTAAATTAATTTAAAAGATAGGTTAGACAGTTAGTTAAATAATGCTTCAATCAATCAACTAAATTACCAATAACCAAATTAACAAATTAAAAGCAGATTAGGAGAGAAAGGATACCTATTTTAAAATTAGATTTGATATGGGATATAGGAAAAACTGAAGGCAGTGAGACAAGCAAGAGTAAAGACCAGAGGCAAATATTCCAAATTAAGATTAGTTAGTAAAAATACAATAAAATACATACTTGTAATTTTCAAAAAGACTAAGCGCTAGTGAAATAGAGGTGAAAGCTTTGGAATGAAAAGCCATACAATTAAGATGAGGCTAAATCCCAAATGATAAGAAAAACAAAGTAAGGTAAATGTAATTTAAGATGTAGAAGAAAGTAAAAAAAAAAAAAAGTTGGGGAAGACTCATAAAAACAAAAACATGAAACTACAATAACCTGACCAGCCAGGCCAGTCAAGTGAAAGTAGAAAAGTTCTTTGGACAGCCAGGCTTTTCTCATAAAGGAATTCTCTTGAGGCCCATTCTTGGGGGCAGGTTTTTCAGTTTGGTTGCTTATCCGCCCATGCCTACCTCCATTCATTCATTCCACGTGTACTTGTAACCTAACCCTGAAGTGAAGGAACCTGGGAATTCAATGGTGCGAGTCAGAGAACTTTGCCCCCATGAAGCTTACAGCCTAGCAGTAGATTGTGGTGGGAGAGAACACAGACAAATCAATACTTAGAGAGTTATGAAGAAAAAGCCCAGGGTGCTATGGGGACTATATGAACTGGTGATTGATTCTATGTACATGGGGGTGGGTGACATGGAGTGGATAGGTACGTAGGTGGACACCAGGGAAGCGTTTTCTGCCAACATATTTGTCCTGAAATCCAAGGATGTATTATTAGGAATTAACCGAGGCAAAGTAGGGGTGTAGGTAGACAACGTATGTCAAAGGCCTGAAACAGGAAGGCTTTGGTGAGTTTAAGGAACTGTAAGGAAACTGTGGCTGTAAGAGATAGACCCAGCAAGGGAGAAGTGATAGATGCATTTGGAGAGGATGGTGGGGACCATATTAAGTATTTTGGTCTTTAACCTAGGAACAATGGGGAGACATTTGTTTGTTTCCTTCATGGCACTTACAAGAACGAAAACATATTTCATTCATTTGTCTGTTTACTTTTTTTTTCTTGGTGGATGGGGCGTACCATTCCTTTGGGACAGGACCATATCTGACATGTATATCATTGTATTCCCAGCACTTCCCCAGTGGAGAATCTGTATATATTTTGAATGAATTAATAGCAAATAATTTTGGTCTAGGTCTTCTCCAAAATGTGTGCTTCTTCCAGGACGTCATACTACTACCTCAACAGTTTGCTTCAAGTCTTATCTGCTCGTGAATATGGTAGATGTTAGATGTCTCCTTCAGTGCTTTTGCTATCCTTAATATAACTCAACTTCTGAAATATTGGTTCCTTCTGAAAGTTTGGAGAATTGCTAAGGAGTTCTATCTTCCATGATGGTAGATGGATAGCATTGCGGAATATTGGGGAAGTAAGGAGTTGCATATCCATGTGTCCTGGGCTCCTTTTCTGGAAGAACTAACACACATAGAAGCAAATTGCTTTCCCACCAACAATGCTCACAAGTCTCAGATAACACTTGGTTCTAAGTAACTTTTCTCCCCAAGCAATGGCATGCCTAGGGTATTTGACTCTTAAAAGTAGATGAGTGTTTAACACCCTCTTGTTGTATAAGACAAGGTTATTTTTAGCAATAGTCATGTAATACTCAGGAATGTGAATTCCTTTCTTGATTTTTTTTAAGGTTTAAAACAAACAATAATTTAAACAGAAGCATAAGTTACAGTTTAAAAAAACAACTTTAAATTCAGTAAGGTATTTCGTGCATGAAGTAAAATTTGCACTTACTAAACAAAAATATCACACTTCGCATTTTCCGCTCATTATCACTTTTTAAAATTTAAATACAAATAAAAAAATTCAGCGTAGTCATAGAGAATGTCAGAATTAAAGTGAGGCAAGTTTAGTTAGTTTGTTTTTAAAGTCACCATACTCTGATTGTTTATTTCAAGTCTACTTGTTTAAATGAGGAAATATATGTGTAGTACCAAAAGGGTTAGAGACACAAAAATGCACCCAAAATGAGTTCACAGAATTTTGAACTATTAGGAATGTATTCTCACAAGACTTTTTGTGGCTGAGTTTGCATGGGGGATGGAGGGGACATGCAGGCTCAGGGGAGGACTGAATAACTGTGAGTTCTTCAAATTAACCCTCATACAAAATACAAGGGTTGTTAAACAATAAGACCATAATATGCTACTTTGAAGCTTACCTATAATCTACTTAAACTCCACAGTAACCATAGCAATTGTTTAAAACTTAAACCAACAAAATATTTTGGGGGTGGGGAAAACATTTTATCACTGACATTGCTTAGAATTGCCAGCACATGATAGCAAAAAGCAGACCAACCTTTTGAATTTATTATTCAAATGATTATTTTTATGAATATTTTGCAGAAAATGTATTCCTTTACCGCCTGCACCTAAAGAAGCTGCCCCTGCGCCTGCCCTTGGTAAGCTGCGACTCCAACTGTAAACGATTGAAGAAACCGTCAATCCCGTCAAAAACGTTACATGTTATTTAAGAAACGGAAAGTTCTCCAACTTCCCCTCTAACCTTTAAGGTTAATTTCTAGAAATTAGTTTTCTGTCTAGATAACATTTTGTGAAATAATGAAAAATCTCCAATGATTCTGTATTTTGGAAAAACAGGTTGTTGCCTGTTTTCTGTATTCCAAAAGGCACTTTGACAAACATTTTAGCGTGTTTATTCACTTAGTGCTTAAAAACGATTCCTAGGGGCGCCTGGGTGGCTTAGTCGGTTGAGCGTCCGACTTTCGCTTAGGTCATGATCTCGCGGTTCGTGGGTTCGAGCCCCGCGTCGGGCTCTGTGCTGACTGCCAGCTCAGAGCCTGGAGCCTGTTTCAGTCTGGGACTCCCTCTCTCTCTGACCCTCCCCTGCTCACGCTGTCTGTCTCTCTCTCTCTCTCTCTCCCTCCTAGAAATAAAAATAAAACATTAAAAAAAAATTAAAAAAAAATAAAAATAAAAATAAAAACGATTCCTAAATGTGGAATTGCTGGGTGGACAAATGTTTAAAGCTTTTCAAGCTTTTGCTACATATCACACAAACTGGCTTGTAAATACGAAGAGCCACCACCACGATTTCCTATCTCCAAAGTTTGTGCTGATGCTACTGTAAAAAACTGCACACCGAAGGTTCCGAGGGTTCTTGGATTGAGAAGTAGACAGGAAAGCCCTGTTGTCAGCAGGGAGAATGTGGGAGAGGCAGAAGCCAGACTCCTGAGGTGCCGGCTCTCTCCAGCTTTCATTTTCTTTTTTTCATTCGCAAGGTGACATCTCTCTCCCAGCAGCTTGGGCTTTCCTGCTTCTCTCCATAAATTCCTATTCCAAAAAAAGATCTAAAATGTCTACAGTGAGAAAGGCAAGTTTTGACTGAGGTTGGGTTTGGATCGTGAGGCACGTGGGAGGAGTTTGATAAATTTTGTGGCATATGACATTCAGGGACCTGTGCCATACCAAACACCTGCTCCACAGGAAGATAACGGGGGCGTGCGGGGGGAGAAAGAGGGGAGAGCAGAGAACACGGAGACACAGAGAGGGGTAATAACACAGTCAAGTCCCCTAATATACTTATTTCAAAATTGTCCAGAGTAAAAGTATTCTCTATCCCCTTATTCCAACTTTGTCAAATGACTCTCTACTCACAGGACCTCAGACGTGAACTAGTACATTGGTTTCATGATATTTGGGATTAAATAGTGCTTTACGTTTTTGTAAATGTTTATTTATTTTTGAGAGCGAGAGAGACAGACATGAGCAGGAGAGGGGCAGAAAGACAAACGGAGACACAGAATTCGAAGCAGGCTCCAGGCTCTGAGCTGTCAGCATAGAGCCCAACGTGGGGCTCAAACTCATGAACTGCGAGATCATGACCTGAACCGAAGTCAGTGGCTCAACCGACTGAGCCACCCACGTACCCCAAATAGTGCTTTAATAGATAAGCTGGGTACTTCAGCTTTTTATATGTATTTATATGAAATATGCATATTTCATATATATGTGCCTATATATAAAATTTGGTTTACGTGGAAAAAATATTAATTCTATATAACCAGTTTATTAATAAACAACTAACTAGATAATCAACTAAATGTCAGAATCCACATTGGAATAGTACGTAACACAGGAAGCATTAACCAAATGTTAGCTACTATTGTGCATGTCTGTCCTCATGGTTATCATTACAAGTCTCTTTGCAAAGGCAGTGGGCACAGGAAAGTCATGGGGCCATCAATACAATGTATCAACTGCACTGGTAGATTAAAGTTCTTTCATGTTGCCACCCTAAATAAATGTGAGATCCTTGTGAGGGTGGATGCTGAGTGGTCAACTAGCAAGGCGATCATACCAGGGCTTGTCACCACTGGGGAGGGCTTACACACTTTGCCTCTCGGGACAAGCCAAGCTACTTTGAATCAGTCTCTACTTCTCACCTGTGCTGTATACGTGGGTAACTCACTTCACTTTTCTAAGCTTCAGGTTTCCTCACATGCAAATATAGATAATAATAGTGCTTGGCTCCTAGGGTTGTTGTGAGAATTAAGTGAGACATCAAGCAGCTAGTATGACATCTGGCCAGTAGCAGGGACCCAGAAAATATAGGTAGTTATTATGCCTGGATAAATTGTTAAGTGTTTTATTGTGGTTTTTGGCCCAGGTTAAAGGACTTTATCTTTTCCACAATTTAACAAAAAGAAACACACCCTAGAAGCTAAAGCCAGCTCAGAGTGAGAAACAACCGTTTCTAAGAAGGTCACCTTCAAAGGTATTTCGGTAAAATTTTGTATCTGCTGGTGCAGAGACAAGTCTTTCACCATCAGTCTCCATCACTGTCACTTATTTTTCCTCTTTCTTGTACAACTGGGTTATTTCATCAAGCTTAGTGCCCACTACAAGCAACAGCTGCTAGGCGCCATTGTGGTTTCACATGGTACTTGACAGCATTGAGAGCTCATTTTTTCACCTGCTGCCAGGCTGAAGAATTCTCAGAATTCTCCCTTTGTTTTGTTCTAACTGAGGTATTTATAAATATGAGAAGAGACGTAGTGAAGATTCAGGGCAGTTTTCTAATCCTGGGAAGCGTGAGTTTGCAGGTGAATGAGAAATATGGGTGAGATGCCAGGCAAAGAGATTGGCAGGGAATGTATCACTGGCTTGACCAGTTGCCTGACCTTGAAAAACTCCTGTCTCCACACTAAGCTCTCAGCAGACCCCTTCAGCCCCCACCTCAAGCTCTAGGACCTCAGCAAGGAAGACCATGCAGAGCTCAGGTGACTCTGACAAAGGTCAGCCACCTCCGAGGTTTACTCTGACTTTAGGCCCCAGTTTTAGCAATGTCCTAGTATCACTATCCTGACCTTAGGTCTTTCCTGATCTTACAGCCCTTCTTCGAGGGTTGAGTTCTGCCTTGTTCTGAGCAGTGCCTCATGCCTCCAAACTGGGAATGGATCCTACTCCTCACTGCCAGCCCTGGGGCTTTGCTAATTCATGTCAAATGGTTCTAATGCCAACCAGTGGTTTGCCACAAGACTCTGAACCCCTACATCTCACAGACCAGTTTGGACCACTATCCATCTCCTGTCCCTTCATTACATTCACTGGAATTGTGTTTTTCCATCCTGGCTGAATACATATCCCAGTTTGGTTCAACATCAGACACCGCTGCTGGACCGGGACAGAGGGTGGGGGAACTTATAGGTCCTTGTATAATTTTCCTGTCCATGCCTACTGCTTTAGTTTGGACATGGGCCCCTACCCAAATCTGACACTAGCTATATGATTCTGGATAAATATCTTAACTGAGAAGCCACAAACCCAGTTAGTTACCTATAGGGGACCAACCAGGTGGGTAAAATTGATCAAACCGGCTGGCTGTGGGACTCCTAGCAAACCAGATTGTCGTCATCACTCAGTCCTGGTTGGTTATTGCCAGGATAGACTAGGGGGCTCTTCTTTGTACAATAGGGGAAAGGGGAAGAAATGGGCATGGGAAAGCAGCTGATTCTGTCAGCTCCACACATTTCTCGTCACCCCTGATTAACTTCACCCATTTTATGGCGTCTCTGGAGTGAGTGTTCTCTCGCCCCGGGGCTTCTTCGGGATATGGGTGATATATTGCCACACTGGATCATGGTTTCTCCTCTCCGTTACTCTCCCTGCAGTTCCTGAATGCCTCAGTACAATTTCCAAAAAAAACCCCAATAACCTGTTCTTGCCCTAGCATAGTCATGGGGACGCTGAAAGCCGTTCTCTGTGGCTTGTAAGTCCAGCCTAATGTGCTTACTTTACTTGTAAGAAATGGGTTTGTTCTAGTTGACTATATTCTATTTCAAGGACAGAACCCTTCTCTCACCAGCCATATCTCAAGCGGGATCTGTGGAGAGAAAGAACGTGAAGAACACATATCCATCATAGCTACCAGGGAAGTGGCTAAACACGGTTCTGAGTTCACTCACCATTCTGGGCTCCATCCTGTAGAGTGAAGGCGTTGAGCTCTGTGGTCACTAGTATAAAACACACACCTGAACACTCCTCAGAGTAAGAGAAGGTTAGAATGGAACTTTTCCTGGTTCTACTTCAACCGAGAGGCAAGATGATAGGTTTCAGATATCAAAGTGAATGAAACACACACTCCTCCTCCCAATTAGTACATTTAAAAGGAAATGTCACAGGGCACCTGGGTGGCTCAGCGAGTTGAGCTCCACGTCGGCTCTGTGCTCATAACACAGAGCCTGCTTGAGATTCTCCCCCTCTCTCTGCCCCTCTCCTGCTCTCACTCTCTCTCTCAAAATAAATTAAAAAACATCAAAAAATAAATAAAAGGAAATGTCCCCAAGAATCTGTTCCATAGTCCCTGACCTGCTCCAGGAAATCAAGACAAGGTTGAAGAGGAAAATATCTTTGGACAGAGGGACTACGGTGGGTGTAGAGGACATTGTTAATGCCCTTTCAAATCCCCTTGACTAACTGGCCCATTCCACGTCCCCACTCATAACAACACCCAGCTGCCTCCTTCCCCAGAGAACGGCCCTCAGTCAGACAGCACCTGCAGCCTCACACCCCCACCCTGAGCACCTCAGCAAACCTTGGCCTAAGTAGCAGGAGGATGGAAACTGAACTCCTTGCCTCAAGGTTGGACCATCTTCGTGATGCACTTTGAGCTGTAGGGTTTTCCCTCTGGGATCAGATCTAAACTAGTCTCCAGCTGGAGTCGCATTCTTGCTTACCTTCCCCCTTCCCCCAGCTTTATCCTGTTTTTATCACTCCTCTTCTAATGAGAACAAGTTTTCAGTAAATCACTTGAACAAGAAACCCCGTTTCAGGCTCAGCTTCTAGAAAGATCGATCTAAGATAGTGGAGGTGTATCTCCTAGACAATGGGGGTGGGTTTTGAAGATGAAGGCTTCAAGGCAACTACTTCGACAGCT